GTACAGTGGAATTTCACAAATATCTTGTCAACTAATGATATTTTTAAAGATATAAGCTCATCCCGACATTACACTCATCGAGACCTTTCATTTGAGTACCCACATCAATTTTTCATATATTTTATATATTTATATATATGTATATATAAAAAATATATGAAAAATGCATGTGGGTACTCAAATGAAAGCTCTTGATGAATGTAACATTGGGATGAGCTTATATCTTTAAAAACGTCAATAGTCAAAAAAATACAGTGCAATTTATCAATAGTCATTATTTAATAAAGCAAAATTTTATTTATTCATACTTCACAAATCACGGCAGTCTCATAGTGACTGCAAGGTTGCCAGTAAATTATTAAAGCAATTTTTCAATAAATTAGAAAATTGTCAAGTGTCTGCTAATAAAAATTTCTATTATATAAATTATAATTATTTACTTTGATGTGACTCAAAAAATTCCCCGTTGATTTGAGATTCCCGTTGAGCAATTTATTACACTGCTGACAGCGAACAGTGACATTGGTATCATCGACTCTGACAACCGAAAAAAATTCCCCGTCCAAAATAGCCGGCAGTCTTATAGGTGTCAAAGTCATGTTTTGGCCCATGGTGTTTTGTATCGTCGCTATTTGAATCGTGTGACGCTGTTCATGGTCCTGTTCCCGGATCGGCGTCGCTTCATTGTTATCGGTGTGATCATTGTCGCATCTCGTTCCTTGGTGACTCTGGCTGACTACTCCCGCTGTTATGTCTCTTCCTTGGACATCGATCATACACGTGTCGAACGATTCTATTTTTGTTTCATACCTCGGCGCTGAATAATTATCCATTTCTGTAATTAATAATTTTTAAATCAATTTTTAAAATTTTATATAAAAATAAATAAATTAAAAAATTCATTTCTGTAATTAATAATTTTTAAATCAATTGTTTAAATTTTAACATTTTATAAAAAAATTAATAAATAAAAATTTTCATTGTTTATTATTGTTTTTTTTTTTTTTTGACAGGAAAAACATAATAGATGGATTAAAAGATAAGAAAATAAAATCTTAATATATCTAGATCAGATAAAAGAAAAGATTCTTGAGGTTAAATATTTATATAAATACAAAAACACTTTTAGAAAAATTTTAAATAAATAATACTACCACAATATTGTTCGAAAAAAAAAATTTTCTTCTTTTTTTTAGGTTATTTTTAAAAAAATTTTTTTATAAGAAATAATTTATGCAGATGATTCTCCTTGTGTTGATTTGTAAGATAACTTTTTTTTTTTTTCTGCAATAATAATATTTATTTTTTCATCTTCACAGTTTAAATATGACAAAAAATTTTACGAGTTTTGTGGAGTTAGTTTTAAATTGTTAAGTAACAAAACATTGTTTTTAGACGACATAAGACAATAATAACATAAAAATATATACAATAACAATAAATGTAAAAGAAAAAAAACAAAACTTTTTTATTATTATTATTTTTATTTTTGGTTGTTGGCTGCATTGTTGGTAAACAAGAGAATGATCGATTTCTTTATTATCGATATAAAAAAAGTTGACTCGAAAAATAATGTTCGACAGAAATTTTAAAACCGGCGTAACCTCAGATTAAAAGTTTTAAAATTACGTAAATAATTAAATTTGATAATAAAAATTGTTTATTTATTTTTTATGTTTGTATTTATTATTGTTTTTTGTTATTATTGACAAGTTTGTAAATAATTATTTATGCAAGCGATACGGAAATAAGTGTAATATTTCAAGATTTTGTATTTTGTACAACTAAATAGGTTAGAAAGACCGTTATTATTTTTTTTTTTTATTAAGTAATTGTTAATAAAAAAATTAATTTGAATGGCATTAAAGTTAGCGGTCGCTTGACAATTTTTTAATATATAAATTTGTTCCGAAAAATTATTTCTAAAAAATAGGATTTTTTGTTTTTTTAATTTTCTAAATGTCAATTTTTTTTCTCATTTTTTTTTTTAATTGCTTAAAAAAATTCTTAAAATTATTAAATATCTACTAAATTAATTTTCATTTAATTTGATTACTTTTATTGTTATCAAATAAATTTTTTTTACAATTTTTATCTTAAGTTTGAAAAATTATTTGTGTTACTCAAATTACACAAAAACAGATATTTAATAAATGGTTTTTGTCTTCGAATTTACTAATTAAAAAAAAAATTTAACAATTTATTAAATTTGTCAATTTTTAAAATGTTTATTTAATTTAAATATTAATTTAATTATTTCTCAACTTGAAAATTTTACTTGTCATTTAAAAATTTCAAAACGCCTTTCGAGTGTCATAATTAATTTTAGTATTTTTTTTAATAAATTATTTTTGTTATAAAATAATAAATTAAACAAATTTTATTTTTAATACATTTCTTGATAACTAATATTTGAAACTGATTGCAGATCTGTTGGAGTTGAAAAATAAAATAAAAATGGACCGACATAGTATTGGGAGTTTTATGAGTCGCAGTGTGTCATCGCCGTCAAGAAAAAGATTGTCTATGGCACAATCATTGAGGAGGCAAAGCAGGTAAATTATTTTTTGTAAATTAGCTAAGTATATAAAAAATGAAATTTATATGATACTAAAGTTAGTAGACGATTAAAAATTATTTTATTAATTAAACTAGCAACCTTGCAGTCACTATGTGACTGCCCTGACTTGTGAACTATGAATAAATAAAATTTTGCTTTATTAAATAATGAATTTTGTTAAATTGCACTGTACTTTCTTAACTATTGACGTTTTTACAAATATAAGCTCATCCCGATGTTACAATCATCAAGAGCTTTCATTTAAGTACCCACATGCATTTTTCATATATTTTATATCTAATATATATATGTATATATGAAAAATATATCAAAATGCATGTGGGAACTCAAATGAAAGGTCTTGATGAGTGTAACATCGAGATGAGCTTATATCTATAGAAAGATTAATAGTTCACGAGATACAAGGTCATTTTTTAATTATTGACATTTTTTAAGATATAAACTCATCCCGATGTTACACTCATCGAGACCTTTCATTTGAGTACCCACATGCGTTTTGATATATTTTTTATATATACATATATATAATATATATAAATATATGAAAAATTGATGTGGGTACTTAAATGAAAGGTCTCGATGAGTGTAATGTCGGGGTGAGCTTATATCTTTAAAAATGTCAATAGTTCACAAGACACAAGGTCATTTATTAATTACGTATCTAGAGATAGAGCATTTTTGAATGCAGCCTAAATACTTATCGTAAATTATATAGTTGAATTATACAGTATTAAAGTCTAATATGGTATTCATTAAGTAAATTTATCCGCAATTAGCCGTTGCTTTAGATACTTTGTAAGCTTTACATGGCCGCGTAGTTGATTTTCCTTGTTGATTAGTAGTTAAAAAACTATTTTCTGGCTTTGAACACAATTTTACGCCTGTGTCTTTGATGGCACAAACTTTGGAGCAACATTCTGTACTATTGTCACACTGGAGGAAGAAAACATTGTTATTATAATTATTATTATTATTGATATCAATCACCAAGTCATTCGTTTTCATCCAAATTTATTAAGAAGGGTTTACATTTTTTCTCTCTCTCGCTCTCTATTGGACAAACGAAAGTATCTCTGTCATACTTGTACAGCTTACGGAATCTCAAAACGCATTTTATGCATAAATAAATGAAAATTTTCTAAAAAAGCGCTTCGCTCTTCGATAGATAATTTAATTATCTATCGAAGAGCGAAGCGTTTTTTTTGAAATTTTATCTTATTCATGAGCAAAACTCGTTTAAAAATCAACTATCAACCGCTCTTAATTACATACTTTTATAATTTAATACTTACAAATTTGTCCAGCGGTTTGCATTGTCTTAACGGATAATGAATTACATGTCCAACCGCGAAGTATATTAGTAACAGAAGTAATATTGTCTTCAACATGGCCTTTATTTTCTTCAATATTGAGTTATTTGTGTAGAAACAAAAAATTTTTGGTAATGACATCAGGAATATTTTTCTCGAGCTTTTATACTCTGTCCCACTGCATTTGTTATTTTTTATATTAATTTCTAATTATAAGAAATAATAACCCAAAGTTATTCAGCCAGCGATAAAAATGTCCAGATCATAATACCTATTTTTTTTATTAATTATCAATAAATTTTTAATTAAGATGTTTTAATTTTAAGTCAATAACATTTTAAATTAATTCTTTATCTATATAATTATTTTATAAATTTTGTTGTCTTACAAAAAAAATTATTTATAAAAATAATTAATAGAAATTTCAAGTGTCATTAAAAACAACTATTTGTAGAGGAGATTTTTTAATTACAAAGAAAACCATATCTGATTATTTTTGGAAATTGACATGGTGGTCTCTGTTGCTCTGATTTTGCCGTTGTAGAATAATCATAAAATATTTTTGAACATACTTTTTTGTCAAACAAATTAATATAATAATTATTATTATAAAAGCTAATAATTACATATAACATTAGATGTAAAATACTCACAGGTGCGATAAGTGGTTTGCATCTTCTTTCTGGATAATTAATGAAATTTCCAGTCGCAAAATTAATTACCAACAAAAGTAGTATTAATTTGATCATATTGTTCAATTTCTTCAGATCTCGAGTATTTCTTAAGTAAGAATAAACATTTAATGACCAAAACCACTTTAATTTCATAATTTATATCTTTCGTCTATAAAAAATTAATTTCATTAATTAAAAAAATAAATTCCGATACTTTAAAATTCCGTCTTAACTACACACAAGTATTGATAAAAAAATAGTTTTATCACGATAAATTTTCAAACTTTGGACTCATTAGTTAAAAAAAAAAAATAATTAATTTTATCAACAAATAATTTCTAAACATATATTTTACTAATACAAAAATTTATAAAATAAATTTTTCTCCTAAAAAGTAAATTAAAAAAAAATTTTTACATCACCAAAAAAACTCAACATTTATTTAAACTTTATTATTACTTATAGAACTTTGTTAAGCTTGTTAAGCAAATTGGTTAAATTGAAATAATGTTTTTTTTTATGTTATTCATTTTTAAATCTAGAATAGATTATAATTAAATAGTTACTATAGCAAATACTATTAATAGTAACTAGCAACCTTGCAGTCACTATGTGACTTCCGTGACTTGTGAACCATAAATAAATAAAATTTTGCTTTATTAAATAATAACTTTTTTAAATTCCACTGTACTTTTTTAACAATTGACGTTTTTAAAGATATAAGCTCATCCTGATGTTACACTCATCAAGAGCTTTCATTTGAGTACCCACATGCATTTTTCATATATTTTTGATACATACATATATATAAATATATAAAATATATGAAAAATTGATGTGGGTACTCAAATGAAAGGTCTTGATGAGTGTAACATCGGGATGAGCTTATATCTTTAAAAATATCATTAGTTGACAAGATATTTGTTAAATCGCACTGTACTTTCTTAATTATTGACGTTTTTTAAAATATAAGCTCATCCTGATGTTACACTCATCGAGACCTTTCATTTGAGTACCTACATGCATTTTTATATATTTTTCATATATACATATAAATAATATATATAAATATATGAAAAATTGATGTAGGTACTCAAATGAAAGGTCTTGATGAGTGTAACATCGGGATAAGCTTATATCTTTGAAAATATCAAGAGTTCACAAGATACAAGGTCATTTTTTAATTATGTATCTAGAGATTGTGTACTTTTCATTATTTTTATCCCTATAAATGATGACTCTTAATTATATTTGTATTTTTAATAACTTTGCCATTCGGCTATCAGGCCTTAACATAACAAACCAAATCTACTCCAACATTCCCCTAAAAACAACTAACCAAACTTCTTAAAATTCCAGCGGAGTGAGCATATCCGGTCGTTCAAACCAGTCAATCCAGGTTCTGTGCCGTAGCGCGGGTCACACAGTAGAGTCCTTCGGTTCCTCCTTACCCGTATTGGTCACAGAAGCATTGACCTTCGTGGACCGTAGCACGCAGGTAACTGTCCGAGTATCCCAGCATGGATGGGCCTGGTTAGTCTGCAACCGCCGCCTCTTAGTATGGCAATGTAAAACAACTCTCCACGACCCGAAGCAGCAACGACTAGCCTTCAAAAGCCAATGCCGCGAACTGCTGCTTCCCCAGAGCGACCTGGCCCACAAAGCGGACTGCATCTCCGTGTGGACATCCCCAGGCCACCAGGTTCCCTCCTGCATGGCGGTCTCTCCAGAAGGAATCGTCCGCTACTGGCCTTCTGTCGCCCATGAGGAGTCCTCCGTGGAGATATCCGCGGAGCTCGCTGGCCAGGAAGTCGACTGTCTGACCCACATTCCTGGCCACGGGTGTATCCTGGCGACCACAACCTGTACCGTGGCTCTCCTCCAGCCGCTGTTCGTCGCCGGGAGGAACACCATCACCTGCCGAGTCCTTCGGACCAGTCCCGGGTGGCTGGGAGGAATTGGCCGTCGTATGTCCTCCTTGATATTCGGAACCATCCCACAGTCCCCGATGACCGAGACCAAGCTGTCGAAGGTCCTGTGCACCTACTTCGGTGACCAAGGCTCAAGAGTGCTAATTCTCGCCGGATCTTCCTTACAATACTGGTCATTCCCGGTCAATGACCAAGAGAAAATGGAGTTCGACGAGGACGTAGGCCATGTGGTAGCCCAGGCGTTCCAGCGCGTGTCCTGGGAGAACGCTGCCGTCAATCCTTCAAGCATCCACACCTGGTTGATCGACATGCAGACCAACGACGAGGGAATCGTCCTCCTAGTAGCCGCTCACTGCGAAGAAATCTCTCCCCAGGTCCAGTTTGCTCTGGGACTTCTCCAACTAAATTCCACCACCTTAATAACACCCTTCAAGTGGTTCATCCCGGTTAAAGTAGGTCCCTTGCTTTACCAGGACAACATCGACAACTCCATCAACTCCTACCGGTTTATTTTATCCGGCTGGGAAGCGATTGTCTACAATTACTGCTCAGTCCTGGTAGTTAACGTGACCAACGAGAACGAGCAGGACAAAATTGAACTGATCCGTCGGGGAGAGGATAAAATCCTCGGGGGTGACTTGTGCTCCAACACTCCAATTCTCTTCACCCGGAACTTAGGTCTGATCACCATCCAGACCTCAGATTTCACCACCCAGGACTTCAACTCTAGTTACGCTGATTTAAGTAACACCAGCGTGGATTCTCCCGGAGAAAATTTGGAGACTATGTACTCCAATGACAAGATACGCGAGATGTACTACACCTCTGATGGGGTCGAGCAGCTCAAAGCTGCGTTTTTGTTCCACTTGAGACAAAACAAGTCCGAGTGCCAGCAAATCCTAGTTGAGCTTTTTCCAATTGAAGAAGAACCGGTGATGGATATTGACGCGAGCTTGGACACTCTTGCTTTGAAGGTTGCTAACAAGTTGATTGATGATTACCCTGCTAACGATCCCAGGTGGGCCAATCACTTGGACTCCTCGCTGACAATCACCACTGTGATGTCCATGCAGATTCCTCATCAGCTGGAGGGAAAGCAGAAGGCGCTTAATTTGTTTGTTAGTTTTCTTAAAGACTACGGATTGTGGGACCGGTTCTGCGCGGTTACTTACCGAGGAGTGATTATGGCGACTTCTCATGTCATTGGAGAGTACGCGGAGAAAATAGTTGCTGCTTTGGCGATATTTAATTTACAAAACAGGTACCCGGATTTGATGGACCAGGTGATAGAGCAGACCTTGTCGGAAGAAGCGGCTGGGAATGCTTCCAGTGAGCTGACCGCCAGGGATATTTTTTACAGAGAAGTTAGTTCTATTCACTTGGTCCTGCCGAACTTGGTGAGCAGCGCTGTAGAGGTCACGCAGTCTGAGAAGCCAGCGCAGCAGATTTCACAGTTTATTTCTCAAGTTAATGCTATTCTTCTGGGAGTTTTGCACGAGGTTAGTTTGTTAGATAGTTAGATATATATTTATTTGTCTTATATTATATTATAAATATATATCTTTTTAGATATATATTTATAATGTAATTTAAATATTGATGGCTTTGAGGGAGCTTAGGCTCCAGAGCCAAATAAAATTTTTTATCTATCTATCTATCTATTTGTCCTTAGAGCCGAAGCTCCCTCAAGGCCATCAATAAGCAATACATTTTTATGTATATAAGTATACATTTCTTTAAAAAACAAACAAGCTATGAAGTAATCTCGTCTCTTACTTAATTTTAGCCACCCTAATTTATTATAATACGGGATTACATGTTCATATCTGGATAGTTTGAAAATAAATCTTACACAAAAATTCATTTTTCTCTGTAACCTAAGTAGCAGCTTTTTCGACATGTTAGTAACCGCAGCACAACAATAATAAAAAATTGGGATTATAAATGTAGTCACCAATTTTATTCGCAATTGTTCATTAAATATTTCATTGTTAATTTTAAGTTGAGCTAACGTTTTCATAGCTTGATTACAAGTATTTAATACTTGATGTTCTCAAGAGAGATTATTATCTAAAATGACCTCTAGATATTTTAACTTCAAGCAATTTAAATCACACCATTTAACAATTTTTTCTATTTCACTATTCAGGTTATTAAATTCAGGCAAGCTAATGCTGATAGATTCGTACCGACGAGCAACTCCAAGGCTGTTACGGAATATTTACCCTGGACAGCTGCTTCATCTTCTGGGAAACAAGATTTAAGAAATTGTCTGTATACTTTGCAAAATTTAACATTAAAGCACGGAGTTACTGGAACCAATGACACGTCCTTGAAGAATGAATTGTATGAGCAGATTGTCGGTCTGGTTGATTTAATTCTCGATGGGAAGAAATGCCACCTGGAGAGTATCCGAGGAACGGATAAATTTGAGATTCTGGTGAAGCAGTATGAAGCAGAGAGAACTAATTTGATCGCACCGTTGATCAGAAACGAGCAGTTTGAAAACGCGGCGATGTTGGCGGAGAAATATTGTGATTTTGCTTCCCTGGTGAGGATCTGCGAGTTGACTGATAATAAAGCTAGGTTGGATAGCTACGCGGAGAAGTTTGCAGCTCAAGATTTTGCGGGGTTCTTGTTCTCTTGGTATGTTAAGGACGGAAGGTCAGGCCAGCTGGTCGAGAGGTGTAGGAGAGAAGGAAAGGGAGAGTTGATGGAGAAAATTTCAGAGCATCCGGAGCTCAGCTGGGTTCAGAATTCTTTGATGGAAGAGTACAGGTTGGCGGCTGATACTTTGCATAAACTTGCGGTCAGAGAGACTGAGCTGGTGAGGAGGAAGAAGAGCATGTTGAGTTTGGGAAAATTGGCGCTCATTTGCTCGAATGAGATTCAGGAAGAAATCAATGAGAATTGCGAGAGGATTAATAGGGAGTTGGAGTTGATTGCTCATCAAGAAGAATTGCCCGGGGATGTTCTCGAGGCGTATGGATATGATATCAAAAAATTGAAAGTTTTGACTCCTGTTGAATTGATTACGGTAAGATGTTTTTTTTTTTTTTTTTTTTTTTTTTTCCCTAGATAAGTTGATGGGTTTAGGTTAATGATTCGAATTGTTGGTTACAGTTGTACACGTGCGAAGAAAATGTTCCGGTGACTGATTTTGACTTTAAAAAAGCTTTGGACTTGCTGGACTACGTTGATGAGAGTGAAGACAAAATGGGATTGAAGGTCAGCATCTGGGCAAGAGCTGCGCAGCGTGATAGATGGGACGTTGTTTCTAAGAATCCGGAGCAGCAGATTCAGCAGATGTTGTTCTTTAAAATAATTAGTCTTATTCATGTACATGGTATGTAGCTTTTTTGGTCATTAATTTTAGGGAGTTTTAATGTGAGGCTTTATCGTTTTTCGGTGATAAAATATATAAAAAAAAAAAGAATTATTGATAACTTTTTTTTCAAAAATTTCAATTATATATAATTTTTTTTTTTAAAGCTTTATATATAACAAAAATTGCATATAGTAAAAAGTAATTAGGATGCATTCGAAAATACTTTATCTCTAGGTACATAATTAAGAAATGACCTTGTATCGTGTGAACTATTGACATTTTTATTGATATAAGCTCATTTCGATGTTACGCTCTTCGAGACCTTTCATTTGAGTACCCACATCAATTTTTCATATATTTATATGTATTATATACATGTATATATGAAAAATATATCAAAAATGCATGTGGGTACTCAAATGAAAGCTCTTGATGAGTATATCATCAGGATGAGCTTATATCTTTAAAAACATCAATATTTTAGAAAGTACAGTGCAATTTAGCAAAAGTCATTATTTAACAAAGCAAAATTTTAATTTTTTTTTTAGTTCACAAATCAAGGCAGTCACACAGTGACTGCAAGTTTGCTAGTTTTTATTATTCTATTTTCTATGAAAAATGTGAAATATTATTATTATTTTTATTATTATAAGCATATAAGCGAATTCTTTTTTTTTTTTACGCCCAAAAAATAAGTAGAGCCCCACATCAAAATAATTATCAATTTAAGTTTAAGGAGTAATTATTAAATAAAAAGTGACTATTATTTAATATTAAAAAATGTATATTTAATATTTTTCAGGAGATTCTATCGAGGATTTCCTTCCACCACTTGACTTACTTATTGCTGACTCTAACCTCGGCACACTTGCCGACTCGAGTAACTTCCAGTACCTCATCAGATTGATATACGAATTTACCGCTCAAAATTTCCAATTAAATTCCAATTAAACTTAATCCCAACACGAGTAATTATAAAATATGTAAGTAAAAAAATTTTGTATGTTAAAACACTATAAATAAATTAAGATTTTCGTATAAAATCAACTTATCAAATAATCCATTCCAAGAATTAGCAGTACGAAGACAAATAAATTTTTACTTTCCAATATCGAAGCACGTGAGCATTGAATATTGAGCCGTAATAAATATCTGATATATTCTGGTGTTCTGCACTCAATTTCTGTAAAAAATTTCAATTAATTAATTAATTATTTGATTTATGAAATTATAAAAATTACCTGCGCATTTTTTTAAAGAATTAAATCCACGAATTTGATAATAAATTCCCGGGCAATTAGCAATTTTATTTTTACAATCTTGAGTATCATTAATAATAAATTCGGAATGTCCCGAAAGTTCCCGGCAATTATATCTATTTTTTATTACATTTCCGTCAAACTGTATCCACCAGCAAACTTCAAAGCTCCCGTACCCCACCGAAATAATCGTCATAGAAATTCTCTGTGTGTTCCACCTCCACTGCGGGTCTAGCCGGTAAACAATCGACTCCTGGGGCTTCACATAATCTTCGACTTGTTTATGAGAATTGCTGCTATTTTTTTCACTGCAATTCAGCCTCAGGCTTCGCGGAATCGTAGATACGTAGCTGGCAATCTCATCAATCCGGGAGTCAATTAAATAATCTTCAGGACTAGTCAAAAGTTCTCTGAAGCTTGCCGCGTTTTTTTTCGACACAAAGTAAACAATATTGACATCCGGATGGTTGGATTTTAAATTTACCACAGAGGATTTTATGTCCTGCCTTTCACCTTCTTTTACAACCGTCCTTGGTGCCAGAAGTAAAATCACTTGTCCCAAATTTCCTATGTCATTATTCGCAGCTTTTTGACTCCATATTTTAGTTAAATAATTATTCGCGTTGTTAATTACCGAGAATATGTTAAAATTATTCGGCCAAGTTGATAAATCGAGGGTAGAAATTTTTTCGTGAGCCGTCGACGGGCTGTCGGTAGTATTTAAAATCCAGTTTCCGGTTTCACCATTAAGAATTCCTATTTTTGAACCATACATGGAGACATTCAAGTCTTCTATTAGTACTCTAAAAATTAATAAACGTTAAATTGATTTTTTAAGTTTAATTATAATGATTGATTTTTTAAAAATATTTTTACGATAGAAAATCTTGAGTGTACTCTCTAGACCAAGAACCGTCAAACGCTACTAGAACTTGGACGCGTGGATATTTTTTTTCTTTGTGACAACGTAATTCTGTGAATAAATGATCGTTTACATAAGTCGTGAATTTGGATACTGCATAATTAACCATTGTTTTTAGGGACTCGTTCGTCATGTAGGATATACTTTTTTTGTACGCCAAAATTTGTGATACTGCGTAGGTCTGTAATAAATAAAAAAATTAATTTATTAAAATTGATGGCCATCAATAATTTAAAATCAAGGGATACTATTAGCAGGTTACTTGTTCGTTTAACATTTTACGAGAAGCATGGTACCAGAAAACTTTACCACGCTCGCACGCTGCGATATTTGAGTCGAAAAATGCACCTTTTGATGAGTAATAAATCTCGAAAATTTGGCTGAGTCGTAAATTGTTGAAATATTTTATCCATGTTCGCAAACTATTTGCTATTATGAAACCTAAAACAGTAGAATGATAAAAAATTTAATTTTTAAATTATTTAATAAAATTACCATCAACAGCACCGACAATTTCAGCTCTGGTAACTTCATAATTGTCATCTTTGTTCAGTAAATAAAATAACATTGGTCTCATTGTACTGTCCCAAGATCCACTTGAGCCTAATGACATTTTTTCACCTTTTATTGGACCTTCATAAACAACCAACTCAGCCAATTCACCTTTAATTATTAATTACATTAATTAATTCATTTTTTAACAAGGTTTAATTTTTCATATTTAACTAGCAATTTGCAGAGTTACAAATTATAATTAAGATATTACCTTGTATCTTGTGAACTATTAACATTTTTAAAGATATAAGCTCATCCCGATGTTACACTCATCAAGACCTTTCATTTGAGTACCCACATCAATTTTTCATATATTTTATATATTTATATATATTATATATATATGTATATATGAAAAATATATCAAAAATGCATGTGGGTACTCAAATGAAAGCTCTTAACGAGTGTAACATCGGGATGAACTTATAACAAAAGTCATTAATTAATAAAGCAAAATTTTACTTATTTATAGCTCACAAGTTACGGTAGTCACATAGTGACTGCAAGGTTACTAGTATTTATATTTATATTCTATATAAATTACCAGCGACTGTAGCCAACCAAATATTATCAACTTGAGCATTTGATCGCTGCAAATTACTGAACCACATAGATTTATTAACCAGAATTTCATGTCTTGGTATCACGAAATCCACTTCATCTTCGTTGAAATCATACGGATTCGGTAGTGAATCATATAAAAGTTTTACAGCAATAGTCTGGTATTGAAGAGCAGCAGCAATTCCTGCTATAAGTGTTCCCGGTGCTACTGTACCAAATTCAGTTAAAATAATTCCTTGCTCCAATGGACACAATTTTTTACTTTCCAATGGTTTCGCTGAAATTAAAAAATTTAATTTTTATATTTTAAACTGTATTAATTACACCGAAAAAACTTTACCATAAATTTTTTCAGTAGGCCTATCAACACACAATTTACTCTCGGGTTGATCATAATCCGCAATAGTATTCGAAATAGCGCGATGTAGAGTGCATCGTTCCACTAAGCTCAATGATTCTACAGGAAAAAAATCCGGGTTGCCAGGAATGAACTCATTGATAAGTTCATTTTTAACTCGTTGACTCCCGGTGCCGCTGAACGGGAGAATGCCTTCTATTTGGCTAATTTTCACTTGGTGCTGTTCTATGCCATCAAATTTGAATCTGTGTAACATCGAAGTCACCAGTAGTCTCAAATCTACTGAATTTTTTATATGTAACTCTATTTTACGGAAAATATCTATCAGGACATTCAACGTCATCGGCAAACGTGCTCCACTTAATGTTTCGTTAGTGTAACACTCTTCTAAATATTTAGGAATTTTTTTTTCACTTTTGACACCTGAAATTATTATTGTCATTGATATTAATGATAAAAATAATTTATAATTAAATAAAAAAAATATTTGTTTCATTTTTCTAATATATAAAATACAAAAAATAATTGAAGGTATAAATAACTTTCTAAAATAGATTTTAGACTAGTGTTACAGGTTCCGTCGATTCAGATGAATCAACAACGATAATATAACATCGGTGATAAGATAAGTCCCGAGATAAAATAACACTTTTAAAGGTTTTGTTATTTAGACATTAAAAATAATTTTTATTGCTTACAAAACTAATAATAAACTAAGTTGCAATTGGTTATTTACAAAATTATAAAATTCTGTGTAGTATGTGATAGATAATTAAATAAATGCGCGGCATAAAGCGACTGTGTGGTCGACTCCGCAAGCAACTTTCTCAACTTTGGCACCCATGGCCACTTTCAGAGGGAAAAATTGGTCTTTGCAGTGCCCAAGACCCAGATATCCGTAGGCATTGCGCCCCCAGGTGTAAAGTTCGCCTTGGTTCGTTACTGCACACATGTAATTTATCCCGCAGTAGATTTTCTCAACTTTTATATCTGGCTGGTATGGATTCCGGCCAAAAAGAGTGTTGGGAATCTGAGTTGGCATCTGGACTTTTGTAACTCGGGGACCAAATCCCAGGATACCGTAGCCCCAGGTGTAAACATCTCCAGTTTCTGCAAAAAAAATTTTATAATTTTTAATTCTTTATTAAAAAGTTGATGTAACGATTTCATCGTTGTCGCTTTTCGCTGCTATGGCAACAACTGGCAATGTTTGCCATGGCAGCGGTTAAATATTAATGAATAAAATTTGTAAAAATATTGATTAATTACATTGTTGATAATAAACATTTTGACAGCTCTCGATGAGCGTAACATCAGGATGAGCTTATATCTTGAAAAATGTCAATAATAAAAAAATGGCATTTTATTTTGTATACTAATGATATTTTGAACGATATAAGCTCATCCTGAAGTTACACTTCTCGAGACCTTTCATTTGAATACCAAAATATATGAAAAAAATCGTGTGTGTACTCAAATGAAAGGTCTCGATGAGCGTAACATCAGGATGAGCTTATATCTTGAGAAATGTCAATAATAAAAAAATTACGTTGCATTTTGTCTACTAATGACATTTTGAACGATATAAGCTCATCCTGAAGCTACACTTATCGAGACCTTTCATTTGAATACCCACACGAATTTTTTTATATATTTTATATATTCCACAAATATGAGAAATATCATATATATATAAAATATATGAAAAAAATCGTGTGTGTACTCAAATGAAAGGTCTTGATGAGCGTAACATCAGGATGAGCTTATATCCTAAAAATTGTCAATAATAAAAAAATTACGTTGTATTCTATCTACTAATGATATTTTGAACGATATAAGCTCATCCTGGAGCTTAAATTCTATTAAATTGTCGATAATAAACATGTTGGCAAAAGCGCGCTCGATTTTCTAGTTTTATAAAAAACAGGAAATTTTAATTGGTGAGAAAATTTTAGTTTTGGTACCTGTTAAGGCCATGCAAAAGCTCCCACCAGCAGCGACATCAACGACATGTCCGAATTCAGAGAAGTCAGATAGCTCGATTGCGGTGTTTACTTGGTAATTGTCAGTTTGTACTGGTAATTGTCCGTACTCTGAATTACCCCAACCGTAAACTTTACCACTTTCTGTATTTTATAAATGTTAAAATTTAATATTTGAAAATTAAATATTTGGTTATTGAAAAATGTAAATATTTTAAATTAATAAAAAACAATTCTACCACTAAGAGCAAGTACGCAGTCAGAAATTCCAGCGACTTTTATTATTTTTTCACCTTCCACTTCGCCTTTAACTAACTCAGGCTTCCACTGATTATTATAATGCCCTAGACCAGTTTGTCCATCAGCTCCCCAGCCACAAGCGTAAACCTGTCCTTGTTCAGTTAAAAAAATACTAAAAATTTAAATAAAATCAGATAATCATTAGAACTCGTTAAAAATAAATTATTAAATTTCAGCAAATAAAAAAAAATACCTGTGATCTTGCCCAGCACTGACAGCAGCAATTTTCTGGCCGTTGATCTCTGGAATATGAAAGATGACATGGCTCTCGAAATGGTTCTCCTCTTCAATAATAGACCTCCCACACTGTCCATACGCATTGTTACCCAGCGTAAAGACTCCTTCTGAGGTAAGTATCAAGGAATGAGCTCTGCCAGCAGCTAGTCCCAGAACTTTGCTGGAGTTTTCTTTCAAAGGTAGCGGAATTGGACGGGCTAGCGGCAGTTGCCCAGTTTGGCCGGTGACTTTGTGCTTGAAATCATTAGCATCGAAGCCTAATTGCGAGTCGGTGTTGATACCGTTTCCGTAGACAATGTTCTTGTCTTTAGAATTAACTCCGAGTAAAGTGAACCCGTAACCACATGCTATGTCAGTTACTTGGTGGTGTTCTCCAAAGAATAAACGACTAGGCTTCGCTATGAAATTGTAACCGTCCTTTCGTCGAGTTCTTCCAGCTGTTCCAAGGCCACCGTGATTTGCTAGTCCCCAGACGTAGATACGGTGGTCCTTTGAGCTTGTTCCATAATCGAAAACTTAAAAATCAAGAGAAATTAATGATACTGTTATGACATAAAAATTTATGAAAATTAATTTAGCATATTTTTATATATGGTAATCGGAAAAAATAGACCCGGGAAAATTTTTAAATTATGAAAAATTCATATTATTTCATTAAAGTTATTATAAAATAAAAATAATAATAATAATAATTTAATAAATCTGAATTTTTCATAGCTTTAAAATTTTTTCCAGGCCTATTTTTTCCAGGATTCATTTTTAATAATTTTATAAAAAATAAATTATGGCAAAAAAAAATTGACATCTAGAAATTTTTAAAAATTAAAACTGCAATTTTTTATAAATAATTTTTTGTAACAAATTTTTTTGTTAAATAAAATTAAAAAATTTTAAAGTGACAGGTAACTTTAATGTCATTAAAAATTTTTAAAATGAACATGATAGTGAAATTAAAAGATAAAAGTTTTTTTTTTTATTTGACAAATAAATTAAGTAGAAAATTAAAAATAATTTTTTAAAATTGTATTCGTAGTTTTGGACAATTTTTACATGCTTAATTTTTTATGAAAATTAAGTTAGCCGATATTTAAACATTTTTAGAATTTATTACAAACTAATGAAAAAAAATTTTTATTTGTAAAAATCTTGAAAAACTGGAAGTGCAATTATTAAAAAATATTTTTCAGTTATTGTTTAATATATGAAAAAAATTTAAAACGTCAACTAACTTTAGTATTATTAATTTTTTTTTGTGAAAATTTGACTGTCAAGAAAATCCTAAAAGCGAATTAATATCTTTTAATTTCATTTTCATTGAATGATTGAAAAAATTCTAATTGTATGTGTTTTACTATTGAAATTTGTTAAATAAATAATTTTTTACTTGGTAATGGTTGTCCTTCATTTTTTTTCGGCTTTTTCATCCTTACAGGCGGTAATTTTTTATATTTTTTTGCGCCTATCCTTGAGTATAATCTAATTGAATTAAACATACCTTAATAAGATTATATTAATTGATATAAGTAATTTTTTTTTATAATTATTGTCAGATGTATATTGTCCCTCTGTATTGTTGATTATTGTTATGGAAAACATAACCCTCATTTTGTCATGTGGGAGAGGATGATTTAAATTTACTGAGTAGAGCGTTAGTTGTAATTTCTCATTAAAATTTAAAAATTTTCACGCAATATAAAAGTGTATTTAATTAAAAAAATTAAATATAATTTCAAAAAAATTTTTCATAATTATAAACTATAAAAAAATTTTCCAAATTATAAAAATATTGGTTTTAAAAATAATTGATTAGTTCCATTAAAGTTTCAATAATTATAGGATTTGTTTCGAGAGACGCAAACAGGATGCGCAGTAGTCACACTTCGGAAACCCGGCAATGTCGTTGTCAATTTCGCTCTTACAAATACCCAGATTTTAGTTATTTAATTATCGTTGTTAATTATAATTTATATCTCATTTTGTTCGGTGAATTTTTTCCTTTAATCTGAATATATAATTATTGATCGTCACTTCATTTTTATGTTAAAATTTTGTGTAATAAGATTCGGAGTTTTCTAGTTGTATTTTAGTTCAAAGTTTGCCCACCCAACAGTCAAGCGCTAGTGTCACTTTTTAAAATTTCGAGTGTGCGCAGTCAGATTACTTTTTTGTTAAGTGTTCGGTTAAAATAAAATGTGTGTGGTGAATTAAATAATTATTTTTAGTGTGAATTAAATAATTAAATTTGAGTTTAAAAATAAAGTGAAAATAGTGTACTGAAATCGCCAGATATCTGAAAAATTTTTATTTTATTTTAATCAAAAAACAAAATTAACACTAAGAAAATTATTATTAAAAATTTCATCAATTATTTTTTAGAATTTTTATTTTTGGAATTTTTTATGTCATTGAAATTAGCAGAAATTTTGGATTTCATTTTTAAAATAAATTATTTTTAAAAAAATGTAATTAATAAATTTTACTCATCAATTTATTTGCTATAGAAATCTAAAAAATTATTAATTACTTAATTTTAGTATCATTAATTTTTTTTGTCAATTTTTATTGTGTTAATTTTGTTTTAAAATTATCAGATGTCTGTTCCAAGATGATATTTTGGAATTAAAAGGTAATATATACATAATCTAATTATAAATACTATTATAACATTAAAGTTAGCAGTCATTAGAGAATTTTTTAATTTTTTTTTAACAAAAAAATTTGTTCCAAAAAATTATTATTAAAAGATTGCATTTTTAATTTTTTTAAATTTCTATGTGTCATTTTTTTATTAATTTTTTTTTTGGTCATAATTTATTTGTTAAAAAAAATTCTAAAAATGATTAAATATCTGCTAAATTTATTATCATAATACAATTAAATATTCTGATCAAATATTTAAACGAGTTCAACGATAACAAATATCAATTTATAAAATTTGGATATTTATACATAAATTTTTATTTTCAGATATTTTGAGTCAGCGATCTGGTGGAAAAAAATTTGGGTTTGATTTTCAATCATCATGTGAGTAATAAATACACTTATAAATTATAAAAGTTTATTAAATCATTCTATAAAATTCACATACCATTATAAAACCCTGTCACCATAAATCCCCATAAACAGGAGAGAAATAAATATTTCTCAATCCCAATTTCCAGTAAATACAACAATTATTTTACTACCTTTGTTGTTTTTACTGGAGTAAGTACAAATTATTATTTTAATTACAATAAATATTATTATTTATTACAAAATAAAATAAAAAGTCTAATAATAAAAACATAATTAAATTAAAAGTAACATTAATAAAAAAGAAACAAAACTTTCGGCAGGTACGTACGAGCGTGCGCTTTTGTTAAAAAATTATTTATAAAAAAAACAAAAGTCTTTATATATTAACATAAAAATTTAACGAGTTAATTAAAAATTTGCATAATAAATAATCATAAATTAACAAATTTTTAAATAATTTATATTATTAAATAGATAAATTAATAATTTAATAGTAGTAATAATAATAGTAAAATTCATTTAAATTCCAGTCTAACCATTATTTAAGTCTATTTTAATTCACAGTATTATATTATAAAAATCTAATACCTTCCTGGCAAGACATCTTCCATTTTTAAATTTTCTTATTATCAAAAAAAATATATTAATTTATAAATATCTTCATTAATTTACCGATTAATAAATATAAACATTCATTCAATATTATTTATTAACAAAAATAAAGACTAGAAAAGTCAATTTTAATTATTTAAATATTAAAAAAAAAAAAAAAACTGGCTTTCATAAATCTGATAACTAATTGTTTTACAAATTTTATTCCGTATAAAATTTCCAACTTTAAATGATCCATTAGAATTTTTTAAATTGCAGCCAGCTTGCCTTACCCTACAAGGAGAGAAAAGAATAGATCTTATTCCTATGTAGAATGGTAACCATTACTACGCTACAAAGTAACGAAAATTTTTCTAAGAGTTCTGTGTAAATTTGCTGATAAATTTGCATAATTTCTAAGACTTTTATCAGCTAATTTACACAGAACTCTCAGAAAAATTTTCGTTGCTTTGTAACATAGTAATGGTTACTATTCTACATAGAAATAAGATCTATTCTTTTCTCTCTGCTTACTTTTGTAAAAATAACTACTTAAAGTAACTTACTTATCCTAATTATTGCACCGTCGGCCTCTAGACATTTAAAAAACATCTTTAATAATTAAAACTAAAAACATTAACTAACTAATCATAATTAAAATTATAAACTATAATTCCTATCTTTTATGAGATAAATAAAATTATTACCCGATTAACGAACTTGTTATGAGTTTATGAACCTAAAATTCGTTGATAAATCAAAGCACTAGACTATTATTCCTACCCTCGTGCGGTAAAACAGTAACAAAGCTCTCATGTTCGCTATCACTATTAAAAAAATATCTCTCCTCACTTTTAAAACTTTCTTTCTCCTTTCCTTTATCTTTAATATAGTTCGCAAAATCTACCCCCGAGTCGTAGCTTTTGGACTGGTCCCCTGCCGTGAGTTTTCTGAAGTTCCCAAAAAACACACTATCAGTATCGACGCTCTCTGCTCCGCTCTCACTTTCAGCAGCATCGCAAACCGATTCGTTTTCATCAGTTTCGGAAACACTGCCAAATTCGTACTTCAGCAAGTGTTTATTGGAGCCATTGCTGTCCGTGCTGCTGAGGTACCCAGAGTCCTCAACTTTTCCAGGATTCTTAGCACCCCTCTTCCCTTCTCGGCGGCTCTTCTTCCCTACGTGGTCGCCATTAACGACAGGAGAACATCCACCGGCCGTAGGGTTACCCGTATCAGTAAATCTCCTGTCCAGGACGTTTTTTGAACCATTTTCCTGCTGACCATTCACCAAAGACTTTCCCTCAGCTTCTGATTCTTCAGGAGGCAGAGGAACCACGTCAGGTTGATTCTGCTTCCGTTGTCTCCTGGCCTGTCTCAGATCAGGAGTCAAGTACTTCTTGTTTTTTCCAATTGAAGAAGTAGGCTGTCCGTTCAATGAATTAGTGTTCATTAAATTACTATCAACAGCCATCCTGAGTCTCGCTTCGTAGATTTCTCTCAAACTTCCGTATCCGCGCGTCAGCGAATTTCCTCCATTACGATTCCCATTTTCGTTTCTGTTGTCATTTTCATCACCTGTACTATCTAAATTCGCCTCATCTCTGAAGCTCCCTTTGCTTTTCAGCAAAATCTGGGACGGCCGTTCCAGAGAATCCACATAAACTTCATTGTTAGCTTCTTTGTTGTCATAGATAACATCCCCATTGATCTTTAACTTCATGGGCTTGCGATCCAAGGTATCAGGCTCGTACTCAGATTCATCATACTTAACATAATTATCCGGAGAATCTTGAACTTTGATCGTCAAATGACCTGGTTGTTCCGGCTCGTAGCTGATTTCTGGTCCAGAATCGTCGCTGTTTGCTGGACTGGCGTACCCGTCATTAACGTAAACTTCGCTAACTAACGAGTATCCTTCATTCCTTGAAACCAATTCCGGTAGTTTGTTGTAGTAATTTTTCCGTTGTACCTCTTCTTGGTTCTCAGTCTGTTTTTTGAGGTGCTTATTAAGCAAGTTTGACTCCAAACGCTTCTGGGTTCGCTCAAGACTGTCCACTTCATAGTCGATGTCCAGCAACTTGCGCTCCATCTTGTTGTCCAACTTCACGTCGACCATTTCCTTGATAACCGCGTCCATTATTTTCTTGGCTTGTAGCTTTGAATTAGGAAGCTCGTTAATCATGTCGGGCAAGACCTGAACCATCGAAGGCGATCCAGTAGCGGATTTATCTGAATTACTTGGAGATTTGTAGGAGTTTAGAGAGTTCAAGGACTCGAAATTCGTTTTTTCAGAGCTTCCGTCCGGGGAAAAGCGTCTTTCGTTCATTTTTGATTCAATCTGACTTTCCAAAGCCGCATTTTCCTCCATTTGTTTAATGAACGAATTTTCAATAGCCTTCCGAACCTTGTCGTTGATTTGGTTTACTTCGTTGATGGTGTTGATCTTCTGTTGGAGTAAAGTACACTTGCGGGTGCGACAATACCGGTCGTAGTTGGTGTCTTCAAACATCGACTTGGTGGAGCGTTTTGAGACGCTGTGTTGGCTGTTTTGGTCGTCATCGCATTCACTTAGTGCAATATTCTGGAAAGTACGAAGCATCGGCGGATCTTTCCAGGTTGTCAGGGAGTTTCTGCTGGTGTTTCGTCGCGGAATGTCGTTTAGATATTCCAGACTGCGGGCAAACACACGCGAATTGTCTTGTAGTTGGTTTTTATTGAAACCATTGTAGTGATAGTTGTTGTTGTTGTTATCTAATTTACGCCGCGATTCTGAAGGAGGCTTGATGTCTTCAAGCCAAGCACGGACCCGACTTTCCCCAACTGGACGCAAATGGTCGTCAGGAAGATTTAGCAAGGGTAGGTTGCCGTTACTGGTTGATATTTGCCGGGTGTCCAAGCAACCTGGACAACCGGTACATTTTTGAGATTTCCGGGATTTTGTAACTGAACTTCGGATTGATGAGGCTGCGCGCTTGTGGGAGGTGCTGCACTTATCTGAACTAACGCTATCTTCTTCGGGAATTTTGGTGAGAGTCGGTATGAAACGCTTAGCAGTTAATTTGTGCTTGGCGATGGATATCACTTCGCGGATTTTTAGGATGAATTCGATGGCTGCTGGTGGTGGAGCCTAGAAAAATTTAGAATTGTTTGTCGTTTTATTTTTTAATTTATTTGATAAAATATTCATAAAAATAATTTTAAATAAGTCTTTTCAATAAAAACTGTCGATGTAAATATTTAGTGAAAAAATTGGATTTTTTGCCAAGACAGCTGTTTCGGGGCGTGGCCTGGGCAGGTTGCTAAGGTAGCAGTAAATGGGGCGTGGCTTAGCCCAGTTGCTAAGGAGAGTTGCTAGGGGGCGTGTCTAAGGAGCATTAGAAAGAGGATTTGGTAACTTTTTCTCTATTATTTCATTTTTAAATGTTTAATAATTGTTAAATTTTTTTAATATAATTATTTTTCATGCAATTCAATTGTCTAACTGTTAATGATGAATAAATAAATAAATAAATAAATAATTAAATTTATCAATTCACTTACCAACAGTAATTGTCGATCAAAGTAAGCCGGATTGAAATACAATTTTCTCCGCTGAATACCCGGTAATACCGACATATCAAACTGCTGGTGATGCAATTGCTGCTGAAACTGATTAGCAGTATCAGCAGTCTCAACAATCCTGACATCTTCCTCGGGCAAGCGTTCAGCAATTATTGCGGAGGATGACGAACCCATCATTGAGTCGTTAGCATGCTCGACAAACATCGCATGGGGATGAATAATAGCAGAGGTTACTTTCTCGAATCCGGTGTCGGAGTCAGTTGGATTGTACTCCTCGCCAACGGGGTCACTAGTCTCGCTGTGAAGGCTATTGCTGTCACTTTCAAAGTGTCGGTTCAGCAAAGGATTATTTTTTATCAGTCCCGCAGCCTCGCGGCTAGGAATTGTCAGCTCTGGGTCCCGGGCATTTCTTTTCCGGCGGGCTTTGCGGGTGTGTAGGTACAGAGACACGCTTGCGATGTATATCAATACTAACAGCAGGATTGAGATTCCTATTGCCGTATATTCGAGTGTTGAGAGGCCTTGGTGAGATGGTCCAGTCGAGACGAATGAAACTTCTCGAATATCTGAAATTATATTTTTATTTTTAGAAATTAATTTATTCTCTTGATACTTTTAATACTTCTAAATTCATGTTTTGATAAAGCCGGATCGGGCTATGAAATTACAAAAATTATTTATTATAACTTTTTAATTTGTTATAAAAATGTGTTCGTCAAGTAACATGTTGTATTAATATTAGTTAATCAAATTAAAAAACCGTGTCAGAGAAGCTCCCACTTCGCTGGGCGCTTTATAGAATTGCATTTTTAAATCTAGACTTGAAATTTAATTAGAGTATTGTTTTGACTTGCACAGATTCTCAATTCTATCAAATTGGCATGCACTTTTTATCCATGTAATTATTCTAGCTAATATTCATTGTAACTTTCAATGTGCAATCATTATCACATTCCCGTGTCTTTCTTACAAGAATTAATAATAATTGATATAAAAAAAAAATTCGTAATGAGCATTGAAAGTTTCAGTTAAAGAAATTGCAGGTCTCATAAGTGAAAAAATCTGCTTAGTATCTAAAGATCAATAGAATTAAAAAATTTATTTTAAACAAATGACAATCGAATAGAATAAATTTAGTTACAATAAAAATTCATTATTTCTAAGTCAAAAAAATATAGGTTCCGGATAAGTAATCACCACCATATCATGTACTAAAACCTTCTCCGAAACATGCTGCATCTTATGGTATAAGTATTATTCCGATCGGTTCAGTAGTTTTCGCTGTATAACCGAACAAAAAAACCAGCTATCCATTTATTAGTATAGATAATTTGGAATTGAATCTCTTTTAAGGAGCTTTTATTTATTTATTTATTTATTTCTTTATTTACATCTCAACAGCCCAAGGGCCAATAACAGAGATACAAAAAGATACAAAAGTAATTCTGTATGGCACATGTCATTAACATTCTTGTGAATTACATATTTATATAAATTATGAAAATAGACCTTTGACAACGTAATAATAAGCTTTTAGCGATTATGCGCCCTCTGTTGAAGTTTTTTCACACTAAATTTTATCGAAAAATTACATATAGTGTTATATAGCCAAATTAGAAAATTTTTTTACGAATTATATAAAAATTAGTCATATCAGGCTATTTGTGGACGTATATAATTTTTCAACCATTCGTAGTATTGAAAATTTCCGACAGATGGCGCATGATCGCTGAATCTTCTCCATATAAGAGAATTAAATTTGAGGTGTTAAGATGAGAATAATTTTTTTGACTCTTCTAAAGAGCTTATTTGACATTTATTTTTAGTTTTATCAACTACTGAACCAACGTTCATTTAGAAGAATGTATCACTTGTATAAATTTCTAGAAAAAATAAAAAATTATTTTTTGATTCTTATACATAGCCTGATATGGTAACATATGACTATGTCAGAAAATTTTTTCACAAATAATTGATTTTTAAAATGCAAAGTAATCAACTTACTGCTTCTTGATGGCGAACCCGCGACCCTAAACGCGACACACGGTGTAAATACACCTGGATTTGTTGAATTAGGCGACGCATCTCTGCAGACTAATTTAACCGCGATTAATTTACCTTCCGCGGATTCTCTCAGTCCAACGTCACCTATCCACTGCAAAATAATAAATTTAATTTAATTATCACAGAATTTAATTCCGTATGCAATAACTCATAACGTTTATAAATTACTCAATTATTTACCTGAATAAACGTTTTGTTTTGATCTTTGAAAATTCGGAACGGTGACTCTGTACTGGATAAATTTCTGAACTCCGACCAGCCTGATCTGCCGAGCTGCTGAGCACCAGCGATACCACATACTGGGGCCGTAACACCTGTACCACGTTATAATAATTTCTTTTAAAATTTACAGGAGTAGCATTAGTAGTAGTAGTAGTAGTTGTATGGAAAAGTAGTAGTAGGTTAACGCATATTTATATATAATAATGAATAATGAGATATAGCAATTGATTATCTCGTTATTTTCATAAACTCACTTACCCTGAAATTGAATTTCTGCTTGAGGATAAATTATCTGTCCAAGTTGCGGCAAAAATACGTAAGGAATTCTTTCCACAACACCGGCATTGCTGATAAAACCTGTGACTCTGCATTCTGAAAATTACCACTGTTTAGATTTTTCATCCTACATCTTTTGTAATTATTATTATTCTTATTTATTTATTATTATTCGTTTTATTAGTGTACTGTTTTATCAATTGACACTGACTGGTTTATCTAATCTTGTAAATTAAATCAAATTGTAGTTAATGGTAAAGTTTAATGTTGATAAAAATTAATCTTGAAATAAATTTATGGATTTTATCTTAAATAATTGAATTTTTAATAGAATTTTTTTTTATAGATTTTGTCTGATTTCAAGGAATGAGGGATGGAGTGTGCAGAGTTTCAACGAATGGTGAGTCAAAATTGTTTTGTTCATGGATTTTTCTGTACTTGAAAAGATTAAATAGTCGAAATGATCATCTAGTTATTGCAGAGTTTTTTTAAATTTAACTTGATAGGAATTAATACTACTTAGGTAATTAAATAAACAATCTCTATTAAAGTATCTACCAACCCTATTATTTAATTTACAATTCTTTACATTAATAACAGCTGTAAAATTTTATTTTCGAATATATCTATAAACATCATCAATATTATGAGTGTTATTATCTAATATTAATATTGTTTATCAGAATTAGCTCATTAAATTTAAAATTTACAGTGGTCAATTTTATTATAAACTTTACAATCTCCAAAAAAATATTTATAATTCGAATAATTGAGAGATAGTAACAGCTATCATCTAATAAACTAAGAAAAATTTAATTTAAAAAATCATTATCCTCGATAGTAACCGTTACCATCCTCAATAATAACTACTAAAATTCAAATTAAAAATATTACGATGCTTTCTTAGAGAAACTTCTATTAAATGATTATTAATTCTGATTATAAAATTATAAAATTAATTATTTTAACACTTAAAAATTTTGCTACTATATTAGATGGTTAACTCTAAAAATTTCAAATTGTAGATGATATAATTTAATTTTCTACGTATAGGATTCGAAATGTACTAAAATTCTTTTTAATAACGATTAAATTTCAATTTTTAGGAAAATTATACAATTTTTTCTAAATAGTCTAGAGATTTTTTAATAACTTATTAATTTTTTAACAATCTTGAACCATAAAATTCTTGTAAATTTATATTTTGTTTGAAATATCAAACTAGCCAAAATTTTTTCAATATAAAAATCATTCTACATAAAAATCTAGAAGCATTTTCAACAATTAAAAATCTTTTAAATCACACATACAGAAATCAAGTCGCTGAAAAATAAAAACATCTATGATGAATGAAAACATTAGTTTCCAATAAATTTCAAGCCAAAAAAAACTTAACAGAGTAAAAATAAAATTTATCTGTGTTGAGCAAGTTAGTTTAGAATCTTTAGAATTTACAATTGGACACGAGTGATTTACGCTATTGCAAGTTTTCCCGTTGCTTGATTTTTTATTAAAACAAACTTTATTCCCTGGTTAAAACTCCTCTAAATGTTAATATAAGTAAAAGTAATGTCGAGATGCTAAGTAAAGTCTCCGCAGGGATTGAAACCCTTGAACCCTGACCCCGTAAACTCGACATTCAATCTATCTCCGTAAATACCCACATATATTACATTATATCAACAAAATCCAACCATAAATCCAGTTCGGTTTTTACCAAGCAAGAAAAAATATAAATATCAGTAATTAAAAATTCAATCTTGAATTTAATAGTGCTTTTGACGATAATAGTGCCTTTGTCGCTGGACATTTTGTCGACCCGTGAAATTTGATGCAACAATTATCGCGTAATTATCAGCCTCCGTACGAATATACGACCCTAAGCATCAATTAATCTTATTATATATTCACGGACTTTTTAATTAAATTTATGAATTTATAACTTAAATTGAAGTTTCATATTAAAAGAGATTTTTATCGAGATTATATCATCAAGCCACATATCTCATATCTCATAATTTATGTCCCTTTCGTTACTTATATTATTATGTTATTTCATACATAAAATGCCGAGTGGCAACAGCAAGAAGGTCTTAATAGAATTTCACACTCTAATGTCTGTAACTTTTCTAAATTGTTTCATTAATGTCCAGCTGCAGCTTATGAAAATTATTATTATTCATTTCGTTTGTTGTACACACTAATGTACTAATGTGGTTTTCATGCGTGGTATTATCATTATTTTCGCTAGTATTGTCATTACTATACTCGCGTGTTAGACTCACTAAGAAGAAGGACGTGTACATATGATTTTCGCATGACCTTTGACTTTTATTTTCATTCATCTTTTTGTTCATTAAAACCGTGGTTATATTTATCTGACTTAGAAATTTTTTGTTTGGATGATAATGACTTTGTGATTGAGCGTAAGTGATTTCGTTATTTTTTATAATTTATTTCAGGATCATTTTTTGCTAAATAAATCCCAAGTTGGATTTTTGTTAGTGTAATTTTTCAAAAATTTTTTTAGATTTTTTCGAGTGAGTTTATAAATATTAAATAATTGATCTTGTAGTATAAGCAATTTAAAAATTATAATTTTTATTTAAAATCAATTTTTGGGGGTTACTAATTAAAATTTATCCTAAAAAATGGAGATATGAAAAAAACAACAAGGACTTTTTTTATAAAAAATTTAATTTATATACAAATAAGTATTCTTACAATTATTTTGTTTCTTCAAAATTTCTTCCAGAATTTTAACTTCAAATATTATAAACTAAGTTATAAAATCTAGCTAAGGAATGTTTGCAATAAAATTATAAATATCGCAATTAATTAACAAGTTTTTTGTTACCCCCATGAAAAGAAAATATAAAAAAAATATATGTTGAAATATATTTTAAATATATTAAAAATCTATAAAAAATATGTATAGTAAATATATTTTTAATAACTAACTTTTGACCGATTTTCATATATATTTTAGATATATTAAAAATATATCTTAAACTACATAAAAAATACATAGCTAAAAATATAAAAAAAGATATCTTGAATATATCTAAAATATATTTGAAATATATAAAATATATATGAAAATCGGCCAAAAATTAGCTATTAAAATGTATTTACTATACATAATTTATATATATTTATTATAGATTTTTAATCATCATTCAGGTGAATTTTTTTTTTAAATATTAACAACAATGTCATTACTTTTATCATAAAAAAAATTAAATTATGAATATCAACATCAAAAGTCTGCAAACAATCGAGAAAGTGGCTTTTGACGAACTGAAAGTGTAAAAATAAAATTTATTCTTCTACATTTTCTCTTTTCTTGACGTCATAAATAAAAGCGCTGACGATAAATCTGGAGAGGAATTTCCATAATTGGAAAGTTAATAAATCAACCCCTGATTGTAAATTCGGCGATAATGGGCGTTTCCTACGGCCTCTGAATTGCAAATTAGCGATAGTGATAATGGTAATTAACCTGTCTTAGGATCAACTCGGTGAATTTTTTATTTTTTCATGAATTATTAAGTATAAACCTACACGAATGTACTCACATGTCAGGAATACTTTATGGGCATCGACCCAAATATTTTAATTTGTTAATTTTGTATAAATAAATTTTTCACGGTAACTAAAAATTAGTTTAAGCGAAACAATTACATTTATAATTGAATGAGTAAATTGAACAGTCTTCGATGATTGATCACTTATTACAGTATTATTATACAGAGATTTCCGTCAGCGTATCGCGTGTAGAAATATAATTAAAAAAAAGGCTCGTTTTTGATTATAATTGTGATAAAAATGATATTGATAATAACAACTTACCGTGGATGTCGCTCACGCAAATGTTCAAGTCCTCACGAAAAAGAGCCAGCTCTGATTTGCATTGACAGACACAGGTTGTGTTTGTGGTGACTGGGCTCGTTGTTACGCTGGATGTTAATGATGATGAATTAATGCCATCAGATACTTGGGATATTTGTCGTTTGTAAGGATTCGCTGTTCCGCTACTGACGGCTGTGCATGCAGTAGCGCAAGAACCTTCACGCAAATAAAATAAATCTTCTTATTCATAGCTCGCAGTGTATTTAACGGTATTTATATATTTATATGATTTTCGTATCAATAATTATTTTTAAAAATTGTTTTAGGTAAATATTATCTTATTTTAATATTTTTGATAGTTTTTAGCAAAAAAAAAATTTAGCTCTGAAATTAAAAAAAATTTATGGTTTTTTAGTTTGTTAAAATAAATTTATTTTTTGTAATTTTTTAATATTTAATATTTTAATTCTTATAAAGAGTTCTGAATTTTTTGAGGATAATAAAAAACTTTAGTTTAATTTTGAATAAAATTAATTTTTCAAGATATTGACCGTTAAAAAATTTTTTTAATAATTTATTAATTTTGAATTAAATAACAAGAAATAAATGATTGAGAAGACTAGCTTTAACCAGTTACAGGTGTTAAATATATTCCAACAAAACTAGTCGTGTATATCAAAGTGAAAAAGATAAATCTCGGATAGTTCGCACGAATGTTAAAACAAGTAAAGTACTTAGCATATTCTTAACACAATCATTATTTTGGAATGACCTATTTTTCAGTACCAATAATTAAAAATTAATAGTGTCATAAATTCAACCTTAAAGATAATACTTTTATTGAGTAAATTCAAAATAACGCTTAATAATATTAATAAATAATAAAAAACAAAATAAATAGTAGCAACATACCCTCGACAGTAAAAATATCACCGTCAATATGTCGAACCACTGAAATTTCCTGTCCTGATACGCTGATAATTTGTAAGCTGGTCGTAAGTACGAATAACGATAGAAACATTTTTTTATCGGCATTCTGAAAACAAAAAAAATAAATAAATGATAGTAAAAAAAAATTACATTAAAATTAACATAAAACAAGGTTTTCAATTTTTTGCATGGGTAAAAAAAAAATATGTATTTGATAGTTGTCCAATAGAAAACCACGGCGATAATTATATGACTGGACATGATATTTATGAGTCTGTGAATCATCTACCCGAAGTATCAGGCAATTTGCCAAAATAAAGATATCTCGTTTATGTCTCTATACGCCGGAAACCCGTTACTTTTTTATTTCGATGTGTTTTATTGATTTAACGAGATTGTCAACTTGAAAAATCTATTCCATTTAGTTTTATTAAAATTCATTTTATACTTTTAGTTTTAGCTTCACTGTACACTTGAGATAATAATAATAATAATAATAATAATAATAATAATAATAATAATAATAATAATAATAAAATAATGTATTACTTTTAATTTACTACACGGAGCGATAATTGTATATTTTTATTTTTCGGCATTTAAATAATTCAGAGTTTGTGGAATTTTTTTACTACGGTGAATTTAAAAATTTTTTACCAAGATTTTTAGTCTTCTCAAAAACTAGTTAATTAATTAAAAAATTTTTGTGCATAAATTTATTTGTTTAAAATTTTTTTTTCAATCAAAATGAAATTTTAAATTTTAAGTTGTTCATTTCATTGTATAAACTCGTTTGAAAAGCTACAAAATAAATGAAAAACTTGAAAAATATCTCATAAATAAATTTTTGCTGCTCTTGCAGCTGTAAGTCATTAAATTAAAAATCAAAAGTCTCAAAAGCCCAATTAATAACATCCTTTAATGAAGCAATAATTGACTGCCAATTATAATTTTATCAGATGAATTACCGGAAGAACACCTCCAAAAAAGTCTACTCCAATTCAGTAATAATAATAAATGGTTGAAATAAAACATTGTCGAGGTATTTTGATGAGGCGAAAGCCAAAAAATTGATCACCAAAGATCCGTGACGCGAAAACCCGTCAATATATACAATTATAACTTCGGTTCGAAAAAAGCCACTCAAACGGAGCAGAGACAAGAGAACTTTAGACTTTTAATGATGCCCTAGCGGAATCCATCCGATGGATAATTAGTAGCATTGCGTCGAATCCTCGCGTATTTGGAGCATCCAAATGATTTAAAAGGTCCCATCACGTCACATCAGTTAGTATATAAATATACAGTTAGCCAACTTATTGATAAGTACAGCTCCCTTACTCGGTTTTTTCCTTCTCATCACCCGGAAGACAAATGTTATATCCACTTATCCTTATATACATTTATAATTTACATCATTATCATTATCATTATGTATACAATTGGGTTGAATCCTTTTATACTTAAAAGTTTAAGAGTAACTTATCCTCAACTCCTTAACATGACATTCTCGAGCTCTGTTGAGGCATTAAACTTTTATTTTAACGAGTCTTTAGGGTCTTTAGCGGGCACGTATCGGTGGGAGTTTTAAGTGACACGAAGGATATGAAGGACCGCTTGTTAGATCCCGTTGCATATCATCATCTCGTCTCATCTGATCGGTGCATAGGAGGTGTTTCAAGATAAAAAAATGTATAAATATAAAATATGTTATAAGTCATGAAATATCGTAGGCGTGGTTTGAATTATACCATGATGATACAAAATACAAATGCAAATTTAAATAACCTAAAATAAGACGCATCAATTCGTGCTGTTATGCATCAACGAGTATACCGATGCGGTGATTTGCTCCTAGTGATGTGTAGTAAGGATCTTGGATTTATGATTCGGAATTATTCTGCTTGAATGGGATTTGTTTTATTACAAAATATTTATAGCAATAAAAACAGAAAGATTTGGTAAATTTAAGTATCATATTCTTAAGCATTTTTTTAACAAAATTTAATGATAACATAGAAAAAAAGGTTCACTTGTGCCAAGAAAATTTATTTAAGTCAAGAAAATCTTTTTGTTTTGAGAAAATTCAGCCTCTTGCTCCAAAAAATTTAGTTCTTGATAGCAGTAAATTTTCTTGTCTTGAGAAAATTTCTCTCTTGCTCCAAAAAATTAAATATAAAGATAGAAGTAAATTTTCATTAATATTTTTATTAATTAACATGTCAAATGGGAAGATCAAATAATATTTCATCGTTTTTTTCATTCAATATGTATAATTGTACGCTAAATAATATAAAATGGGTATCAAATATTCAAGAGAAAAATTTTCTCAAGGTGAGAAAATTTTTTTCTCAGCTGAAGTAGGTGGCGCTGCTTCCCTAAAGTATCCAAAAATCTTGATCAAATATAAAAATTTAATGTTTCAAGAATTTATGATAATTTGAATTAAGAAAAATTACTTTCACCAAGAATAGAATTTCTTGAAAATTTTCTTGAGCCAAGAATTTTGTTCTCCAGTCAAGAAATTTTTTTTTCTGTGAAAGAAAGGATCAATTTTAAGCATCCATGTTTTTGGAATATTTAGTGAAAAAAAAGCGACTAGTTACGGATTTCAAAGAAGTGACAGATTGCCCCAACTTTGCCGTAAATTTAATATTTTTACCACAATCACATCATCCATTTATTGCGATGAATTATATATTTTAAAACTTCTGGTAGAACATTGCGCTCAAGGCATAAAATGTAAATATAAATATAAAATATGTATACTTTAAACTGGAGTGTCGGTCGTTGCTCGTCAAGGTCATACAGAGAAACAACAGATGGATGGATAGATGATGTAATAACAACAATCATATAAATAATAATAATAGTATAAAAAATTAGCAAGACACTTTGAATAACATAGTTGAACAGTTGCGAAAGATCCTGTTGGATGGTGATATCATGTAGAAGACGAAAATTTACTTAAGTGCTACTCTATGTCGTGTAACGACTCTCTTATTACGTATGATCACAGCGCGTGTCTTCAGACGAACTAGACATTATATTAGTCGAGTACAATCTGCGTACTGTAAATCGGGTTCTTAAAGTCTATTTCTTCGTTTTGTATACCTATGTATGCAATACGATGATGATTGGTGATTTTAGGTTCTAGAATATGGAATTACTTCCGCGTACGCCTGGACAATTGTAGTTTTGATGGCAAGATCTAGGCCGGATGTTTATTACACTGACCTGCTGGGTTTCATTTTTATTTAACGTGCTTTTTATTTGTTGAGTTATTTTTCTGGGGAAATTAAAGTTTACGGTTTTATAATTTGGTATAAAATACTTTAGTTTTTGAGGATGCTTTTGTTTTTGGGTGGAAGGTATCGAAGCCGATTCAACTATTGGTTATTTGTCGATAAATATTTTTGATATAGTCTAATATGGGATGAGTCGGAATTTGAATAATAAATGAAGATATTAAATTATAAAAATTGCAATTATCTTCATTTATTGTCCAAATTCCCAAGATCGAGTTATCTAAATAATATTTAATTTTTATATGAAATATAACGACGTTCTAATTAGCAAATTGTCTAACTCCATTTTAGAGAATTTTTTATTTGTACGAAAAAAACAATTAGTTCAAAATTTATTATCACTTTAAAAAACCATTTAATATCATTATTATCTAATAGAGATATAATATTTATTTTATTTATTTATTTGGTTTAAATGCCAAGGCAATAGCCGAATGGCAAATTTAGGTTTGAATCATTGAAATTATTTATAATTTGATTATCGCTATATCAAAATGTTAAAAAATCACCCTCTAAAAAATAAGGAGTTAGACAAATTGCTAATTAGACCGTCGATAAATAGGTTCAGCAGTTGATTAAGCTAAAAATTAATGACATATAGCTTTTTAAGAGACCGAAAAAATGATTTTTATTTTATACTTAAAACTTCAAAATTATAACTCTCTTATAGTGAGACAATTTAGCGATGATGCGCCATCTGTCGAAGGTATTAAGAATTATAAATAGGGAAAACAGGAAAATTTAACCTTGACATTTTTATATCAAATTATTCGATATGGCTTGGTATATGATCGTATAGATTAACAACTAAAGAAGAAAACTTTCTTTTATTGAAAATAAATTATCAACAAGAAAACTAAAACACTATTCATTATTACTAACCCAGAAAAAAAAAAAATTAAGATAAGTTGTTTTCATACGCTATCATTATCACTCTCTGTTATTTACCGACCACTAATTAAATAATTTCACTTTACCTTAAAAGACCACCGAAATAGTAAAGAAACGTATAATAGCAGCAATAAACAAAAGTAATACGGCTTAATCATAGTTTATTGATCAAAAAAAATTAATTTTAATTATCTGATGTTCTATTATATATCTACCGATAGATCACCGGCAGCTGATTTACAGCTAATTAACAAATTTTTAACGGTACCACTATCTGCTAAAATAAAACATGTAATAAAACTGTCCGCGTTAACAGCTACCAGTAGAAAATTACACATTAGATTATTTATTATACTCTATTAAAAATAAAAAAAAAATAAAATTAACTGACTCTTAAAGTTTATTATTATTGTTAAAAATTTTTAATTATTAATTTCGATTAAAATTTCAATCAGTGAGATTAAAAATACTTAACTATCGGGCGGTTTATTGAATTGCAGGCACGCGAGTAAGAGATATATAATAACGATGGAAGACAAAAATATAAAGCAGTTTAATTGCACTGCTAACAGAAATAAAAAGATTAAAAATTGATATCTAACCCATGAATTTTTATTTTATGATTAAATCCGTTGGATCAAAAAAATAGAAGGAAATTTTTAATTTTTTAAACTGTTTAATGGCTGTGATATCACCCCGCGGTTGTTCGGGAAACATTTCTCGTGACAACATTCCTTTTACCCTTTAACGATCTCACGCAGATCCTAACGACGCTCGTTAAACTTAATTGATATAGGAAGTGTTGAGTTTAAACGGGAGAATAACGCCATAAACTTTTAGAGAAAGATCGGATTTTTTATCGCTTATACTTATTTTTAAATAATTGATATGTTTAAAGAACTTAGTCGTCAACTTGGACTTACGACTGCAACTGGAATAATTA